GCAGCAGCAGCAGCAGCAGCAGCAGCAGCAGCAGCAGCAGCAGCAGCAGCAGCGAGAGCTGCTGCTGCAGCAGGCGTCCGCGCGGCTCGACCCGCGCTGCAGGTGCAGCAAGAGCAGCAGCAAACCAAACAGCAGCAGCAGCAGCAAGAGCTGCAGCAGCAAGAGCTGCAGCAGCAAGAGCTGCAGCAGCAAGAGCTGCTGCAGAACCCCTAAGAGCAGCAGCAATCTTCTGCCGCAATTCAAGCAGTAACAGCAGCAGCAGCAGCTGCTGCTGCTGCTGAAGCAGCTGCTGCTGCTGCTGAAGTTCTCTCACAGCAGTCACAGGCTTGTTTCATTAGCAGCAGCAGCAACAGGTCTTGCTGCCTCTGCAGCTGCTGCTGCTGCTGCAGCGGCTAGTCCTTCAGCAGCCATCGCTGTACTTTTTCCCAATCGGCAGCAGCAGGAGCTGCAGCACGAGCTTCTCTGTTGCTGCAGCAGCTGCAGCAGCAGCAGCAGCAGAAGCAGCAGCAGCAAATCATCGCAATCCCCCCCTCTGCCTGTAGCTGTTCCGTCTCCTATCGGACTCCCGCAAGAAAGCAGCTGCAGCAGCAGCAGCTGCAGCAGCCGCTGCTGCTGCTGCTGCAAGAACAGCAGCATCTGCTCCAGTAGCAGCTGCAGCAGCAACTGCAGCAGCAGCAACTGCAGCAGCAGCAGCAGCGCGCCAAAGCCTGCTGCTGGCTCCTGCTGCAAGAACAGCTTAAGGTGTATGTACACCTGAAAGCTAAATCACAGGTTTATTTCCTTTAAGCAATCAACGACAGCAGCAGCAGCAGCAGCAGCAGCAGCAGCAGTAGCAGCAGCAATAAACTGTAGAAGCAGCAGCAACTGTAGCAGCAGCAGCAGCAACCGCAGCGTACTCAGCTGCAGCAACAAGCGCACAAGCAGCAGCAGCAGCAACTGCATAGGAAGCAGCAGCAAGAGTAACTGCAGCAGAAGCAGCAGCAGCAGCAGCAGCAGCAGCTTGGGCTGCACCGGCAATGCTTGTAGCAGCTGCAGCAACAGCAGCAAGAGCGATGGAAGCAGCAGCAGCAACTGCAGCAGCAGCAGCAAACTGCCGCTGCTGCGCGAGCAGCAGCAGCAAGCTGCCGTTGGGGGCAGATACAGTGGACCTAATCCTGAAACCCTAAACCCTAAACCCTAAACCCTAAACCCTAAACCCTAAACCCTAAACCCTAAGGCCAGGCGCTGCATGCAGCCCTCTGAGCTGGAGATACACCTGAAGGCCCAACTGGGCTCAGCAGCAGCAGCAAATACACCGCAGCAACTCAGCTCTAAAGCAAAATAAATAAATAAATAAATAAATAAATAAATAAATAAATAAATAAATAAATAAATAAATAAATAAATAACAATAAATAAATAAATAACTAAACAAATGTTTATTCAATTGTCTATTTAGGCTTTTCAATGCCGCAACAAATCTAAGCAGCTGCTGCCTATTGTAAAATTGGCCCCACAAATGCCCTGCAGCAGCAGCAGCAGCTGCTGCTGCTGCTGTTGCGGCAGCAGCAGCAGCAGCAGCTGCTGCTGCTGCTGCGGCTGCCGCGGCTGCAGCTGTTGCTGCTGTAGCTACAAGAGCAGCAGCAGCTGCTGCTGTACCTGGTGCTGCTGCTGCTGCTGTACCTGGTGCTGCTGCTGCTGCTGTACCTGGTGCTGCTGCTGCTGCTGTACCTGGTAATGCTGCTGCTGCTGCTGCTGCTGCTGTTGCAGCAGCAGCTGCTGCTGCTGTTGCAGCAGCAGCTGCTGCTGCCTCATGCTTCGTCGTCTGACTGGTCAGGGCACCTCTCGTTCATATCCACGGGGTCTATGGGTCCTGCGAAAAACCCTAAACCCTAAACCCTAAACCCTTAACCCTAAACCCCTGGCCGTAAACCCCAAACCCTAATGCCTGAACCCTAGGCTCTGCGTCAGCGCTGTGTTACTTGATGACACTCCTGCACCCTCAGCCAAAACCCTAAACCCTAAACCCTGAACCCTGGACTCCAAACCCTAAACCCTAAACCCTAAACCCTAAGCCTTCACCTTCTGCGAGTCCCAGGGTTTGCATAACCTCCCTCATCATAAAGAAGGTGCCGCAAACCACCAAAACTGAACCCTCAGCAGCAGCAGTTTTAAACGCCTTCCGCAGCAGCAGCGGCAGAGTCCCTGCAGCAGCAGCAGCAGCAGCAGCAGCAAATTCAGCAGCAGCAAGTGGCACTCGGTAGCAGCGCATGCAGCAACAGCAGCAGCAGCTGCAGCAGCAACAGCAGCAGCAGCAGCAGCTCCTCACCTTTTTCGATCTGCGCCGCGAGCGCCATCACGTCCACTTGCTGCTGCTGCTGCTGCTGCTGCTGCTGCTGCTGCTGCTGCGTCTCCTGAGAAAGCCAACGGTGGGTTTCTTTAATTCCTTCTTCAACGAGAGGAAGAAGACTAAAAACAAAAAGAGACAAAAGAAAAAGGAGACACTTAAAAAGGGACAGCAGCAGCAGCAGCAGCAGCAGCAGCAGCTGCTGCTGCTGCTGCTGCTGCTGCTGCTGCTGCAAAAACAGAGACAGAAGGGCAAAAGCAATCGAACAAAAGCTGAAACAAAGGAGACAAAAAGGAGACAAAAAAGGGACAAATAGAAGACAAAAAGGAGACAAAAAAGGGACAAATAAAAGAAAAAAAGAAATAAAAGAAATAAAAAGAAATAAAAAGAAACAAAAAATAAAAAGAAATAAAAACGGACTTGTCTGCAAACTTCGGGTCCTCTTTTAGCTGCTGGTAAATTTGTGCTGCAGTTTGGCAGCGGGGGTGATCTGCTGTGACAATGTGAACTCCCTAAAAAATAAAAATAAAAACAAATAAATTAAATAAATTAAATAAATTAAATAAATTGAATTAAATAAATAAAATAAATAAATAAATAAAAGAAATAAAGGAAATAAATAAATAGAAGGGAAAAAATGAGTGAAAGAGATTTAAAAACCGATTTAAGGGGGTTTAAATAAGCCCTTTTACGCCGATTTAGGGTTTAGGGTTTAGGGTTTAGGGTTTAGGGTTTGGACTTGGAGGCGGTTGTTGAGGGGAAAACAAAAGTGCCCCAAAAGGGGCTGGAGGAGGAGCTAGGGTTTGGGCTTTGGGGCGCAGGCGTGTTGGGCCCGCAGGGCCTAGGGTTTAGGGTTTAGGGTTTAGGGTTTAGGGTTTAGGGTTTGGACTTGGAGGCGGTTGTTGAG